TCCGACAAAGATCTTGCAGTAAACGATAAGAGTGTATGCGTCGCTTGTTTTGATCTCCAAAAAGTTTTAGCTACTCCACAATCGAATGTCAGCGATTTTTATTACAAGAGCAAGTTGTCAACATACAATTTTACAGTTTACGACCTAGGAAACAAAGAGGGTTACTGCTATGTGTGGCACGAACAGATAGCAAAAAGGGGTCCTAATGAAGTTGCCAGTTGCCTCTGGAAATTTTTAAACTACGTCACTAGAAAAGGAGTAAAAAACGTGATATTTTATTCAGACAACTGCGGTGGACAAAATAGAAATCGCTTTATATTCTCAATGTTTGCTTTTGCTGCCGTACATTTTCAAATTGACATTACGCACAGATTTCTAGAGAAGGGGCACACTCAAAATGAAGGTGACAGCATGCACGCTGTTATTGAGAACGCCAAGAAACGGCAATCAGTCGTATATGTGCCCGAACAGTGGGTCACCTTAATAAGAATGGCCAAAACAACTGGAAAGGTTTACGACGTTACGGAGATGTGCCAGGATGATTTTTATAATTTTAAAATACGTACCGAAACTGAAAATTGGAAAACTGACAATAACAAACACCCATTCAAAGTGAGCCAAATAAGGGAAATTAGGTTTTCTTATAAAAAACCATACACTATACAATTCAAGTATGAATTTGATGGTGATTTAAAGAACAGTGACATCAAGCAAAATGGTCGAAAATCTAGAGGACGGCCCTCCATTAACCAGTTTCCTTCAAAATTATACGACAAACTACTACCGATAGACGACAAGAAATTGAAAGGATTATTATGGCTTTGTGATAAAGGGAAAATACCTAATATGTATCAAGCTTTTTATAAAAGTCTGTATTCAAAGACGAACATGATTGCTGAAGTCGATGAAATGGAGAGTGAAGACTGAATAAACACAAGGATTTCAAATAGATGTAGTCATGAAATAATTTATTATATTTATTATTATTGTTAACAGAATATGTTAGTTAATTTAAATAGAATAATAATATCCGATTTAAAAAAGTTGTATTTTTACCACGGCTGTAAATGTTTCCTTTGAATTATCTCAATAGTGTAAAAAATTAGTTACTATAGTCTTCGCTGGAGGCGTCGATGTATGGATATACCATTTATGTCAGCAAAAACATTCCAAAAATATCAAGAAACGGTAAGTGATAAAATCAGGGATGAAGCATGGCAGTCTATGAAGAACGCAGGTGAAGAAGAATGTAATTTAGCCAAAGCTTCAGGAGAAGTAAACAAAGACGGAATTCCAATGATAACCGTAATTGCGGATGGTGCCTGGAGTAAACGCTCATACAATGTCAATTATGACCCATCATCGTCCGGAGTTGTACCAAAGATTAAAGAGTAAACAAGATGCGACGCTAGAGTGAGAAACTTTAGTTTTGAAAAGAGATAGGAAGATATTCCAATTTAAATGCCCTGACAATAACAAACCACACCTACAAATGTGACGTCAGGGCATTTAAATTGGAATGTCTTTCTCACGCTAGAGTGAGAAACTCTAGTTTTGAAAAGAGATAGGAAGACATTCCCATTTAAATGCCCTGACTATAACAAACCACACCTACAAATGTGACGAATCGCTTACTAAAAGATTAAAGAGAAACTTATGAATTTATAAAATAGATTGCCTAGTTGTTCACGCGATATAGGATCGGGATTAAAACCGGTGCTGAATCGTAATTCAAATAATATTTAATCAATTAAGGAACACAGAAGTGATAAGGAAATAAAAGATTGTAATTAAATTTTAATTGTCTTACTCTAATTCTCCTTCTTTTACACACTTTTATACCCTCGTATGTCGATCGCACAACGAAAGGTCAAGAATAGATCGATATCGCACGACGGACGGCCGAGAAGAGAGATCGATCGATCAATATCGATCGTGATATTTAAAGTGACAAGTTATCGGGGGTGCAAAGGGGGTTGCCTATATTCCTGACTTAACACTCCCCACAAAAAAAATATACAAAAATAATAATAATAGATATACACATATCAAATTTTACAATATTCCGAGAGAAACAATATTAGGGAAGTATAAATTTTATAAGTTAAATTTAATATTTTGAGATTCCAATTTTAGGTTGGCACCAATGGTAACGGACAAAGTTTCACCAGTGGTCATTGGAATTGTCCGGTACTTGTTTTGATTTTTGCTATTTTTGCTAATGACTGTAAATCGTTGGGATCGTTCGATAATGCTGCAAGGGGCCTGAAATTGAAAACGGCTTCCACCTGTGTTAACACGGTGTAAACCTCCTCAAACGTAAGTTTCTGATCTCCAACCACTCGCAATAAATGATATTTAACAGATTTGACCCCTGCTTCTGCCAAACCGTTAAAATGTGGAGCACCAGGTGGGTTAAATTTCCATTCCAACTGCAATTGAGCACCAGCCGCATCTGCCATTTTCTGTAGATAATTGGACGCTCCGATAAAGTTTGTGCCCTGGTCGGAAATGATCAACGAACACTTGCCTCGTCTAGAAGTGAACCGTCGCAGGGCTGCTAAGAAAACTTCCGTGGTGAGAGCTGAAACTAATTCTAAATGCATAGCCTTAGTAGCTAAACATATAAAAATACAAAAGTATGATTTCACCGATCTAGCTCCCCGAGTTCGACTAATGATGGTGTAAATTGGACCTGCAAAATCCACTGCCACTTGGGAAAACGCTCGAAGTTGAGAAACCCTCATCGACGGTAGATCAGCCATCATGGGAGCATACGATTGGGGCTTGCAGCGGAAACATCTCACACATCGTGACAGAACGCGAAATATAACACTCCTAGAGTTGATGATCCAAAATTGTTGTGATACCAACGTTTGTAATGTTCTCTGGCCGGTGTTATGATAGCTTTAAGTTGGTAGCACTGTAATTAGAGATGGGCATAACTGTTATTTTAAAATAACAGAAACAACTGTTACTGTTATTTTAAAATAACAGCTTAAAATAACAGGTTGTTGTTATTTCTGTTATTTTAACAGAATCGTTCAATGATCCGACATGCCGCTGGCTCAGCCCGTTTAGCCAGCGGCATGTCGGATCTCACAACAGCGCTTGACCTTGAGTGTGCATTTCCCGTGAACATAGCTGTACATAGTACATAACCTGCAAACTTTGAAGTTAAGTTCAATCTGTGTGCTGTGTACTGGGACTGCTGGGTTATTTTATTATATTGTGATAGTTGTTACTGTTTGTTAGTGTTATTTTTAGTTCTATTATTCGTTGTTGTTATAGTTGCCGTTATTTGTTATAGTATTTATAGATCATATTCAACAAACATTTTTTCGAAAGATCTAGGCACGCCTTTTTTTTATTCAGTAAGTTCATAATACTAATTTGTACCATTGTCAACAAAAGAAAAATCTTAAAATTCTAATATTCGAGATCCGAGGTCAATCACTTGAATTAACCCGGAGAGGGCTGAGGGAGTAAGGACTAGGGACAAGAAATTTCAGGGAACTGGGATGCAACAGAAAAAACACAGGATAATACAATAGATAATAGTAGATGTGTTCGGAGAGCCGATTGCAAACGGTTTCGAATTTTTTCAATCAATAAAGATTTGAGAATTCTTGCACGTGATCAACATGGAACAGTTTGATTGGTTGCAAAATCCGAAACCATTTGCAATCGGTTCTCCGAATAGACCTATTTATAATTTTATATAGATACTGTATTTTACACAAACATATTTTATTAACTCAAATTCAAATAAAAAAAATGATATAAAAATATGAAAAATTATAATTTTGATTATTTTTATTAACCTTTTCATGAAAAATTAATAAAAATGTCTGTTCATTGTATGAAAAAAAAATGAATATATTATATTATGCATTTATTTTTTTATAACTTTAATTAAAGTTATATTTTACCATTTTATGTAGGAAATAATGGATAAGCATCTAAACGGAAAAAAATCAATTATTTGGAATTTTTTTACTCCAATAAATGAAGTATTGGCAAAATGCAATTTTTGTCATCAAAAATTGTCATACAAGTCATCAATCAATAATTTGAAACAACACCTGAACAGAAAGCATCCCACAATTCACCAACCTACTCCTTCTTCAATCTCTTCCTCATTGGCTGGAACAACTTCAACCACACCGTTACCATCAACCAGCTTAACCAATTCTTTACCCGGAACCACTTCACCTTCACCACCGATACATTCAACCGCTCCATTAACCACAATAGCTTCAAATCCATCTTTACTACCAACTTCTTCCTTTTCTTCGACAGTTCCTCGTAGATTACAACAAACCACCTTACGACCGCCTAAAAAAGTAAGCTTTTTAGAAAAGTAAATGCTTGATGAAAAATTATTACACTGCGACATTAAATCCGTTTTATGCTTTGCCTAGTAGAAAGACTCTCTCAAACACATTGCTACCGGCAAAATATGAAGAACTTAAGGCCCAACCTTTAGAAACGTTGAAAGAAGCAAAATCGGCAACTATTACAACAGATTGCTGGACTTCCATCAACAATGAAAGTTACATAGCGGTAACCGCCCACTCTATTGACAACAATTTTAGCATCAAAGCTGTTTTGTTAGAGGTTTGTGAGGTCAAACTGAACCACACAAGCGAAAATCTTGCCGCTGAGCTGAAACGAATTACCACAGAGTGGGGGCTTCAAAATAATATATTGATTGTTATAACAGATAATGCGGCAAATATAAAAAAAGCAGTAAGTGAAGTTTTACAATGGAAGCACTTAGGGTGCATCGCACATACAATTAATTTAATTGTCAAGGATGCGTTGACTGCTGCAGAACCATTGATTACAAAAGTATCCACCATTGAGGCCCATTTTAAAAAAGTAGTGTAGCCAAGAACAAACTTGATTTTTATCAAAGACAAAACGGAAAAGACCCAAAAAAGTTGATACAATCTGTGGCCACAAGGTGAAACTCAGTGTATTATATGTTGGAAAGGATGAAAGAGTTAAAAGAAGAAGTGCGAGCGGCATTAGGTACTCTGGGAAAAGAAGACTGGCCCTCATTAACAAACCTAGAATTTGTTGTTCTGGAACAATTAATTGAAATTTTGGTACCAATGGAAACAACAACAACAGTTATAAGTAGCGAAAAAAAAGTTACTTTATCTTCTGTAATAATAATTTCAAACGGCCTTTCTGATTTATACAAAGCAATGTATAAAAATAATATTCTTTCATCCATTTCAAAAGATATTTTAGAAAAAATTATTATCGGCATTGACACAGGATTCAAGAACATGGAAAGCAGTACTTCATTACTTATTAATACATTTTTCGATCCAAGATACAAACATATCGGATTTTCAACAAATACAGCATCGGAAAAGGCTAGAGCGGCAGTCACAGCATCCTTAATATCATTGATTAATTTAAAAACCGCCGAGTCCTCCCAACCAGTCGATAGTGGTGATAATGATAAAATTGACAGTTCAAAACCGAGTATTTGGTCATGCTTTGATAAAAAAGCTTCTCTGTTTAATCCGGTCAGATCAAATCAGTCGAAAGCAATCATAGAAATTGATAGGTATTTAGATGAGCCTCTTCTCGAACGTGAAAAAAATCCATTAGATTGGTGGAAAGAACATCAATATAAGTTTCCTTTCCTTAGCAGCCTGGTGAAACTCAAGTTTGGAACTGTTACCACATCGGAACCATGCGAAAGGGCGTTTTCCAAAACAGGCCAAATAATTTCCGACCGCCGAAGCCGTCTAAAACCAGAGAAAGTACATCAAATTATGTTTCTGAATCAAAATAAAAGCAGTCTGCCAAGATCTTAAGCAAATATTTTTTTATTCTAAATTTAATCAATGATATACAATTAGATGAATGTACTAATATTACAAATTTGGCTGGATGGAGGATACAATTGCAGAGAAATATTTGTTTTACGAACTTACTTGACAAAGGACAAGTGATGAAATTTTTAATGTTCTTAATAGAACATTTATGCTTAAGAATACAATGTCTTGAAATATGTGCATAAGTGTATGTATAGATGGGGCATGTGTTTTAACTAGAAAACTTTCTGGAACCTCAGAAACAATAAAAGCAGTTGCCGCTGAAGCCCATTTTACACACTTTATCGTGTTCGCAACAAAACAAATTCAAAAAGATCAAAATTTACTTTGAATCAGTCTATAAAAGTATGTCAAAATTTGTATCTACTATCCGTGCCAAATGTCAAGGCCCCTCACTTTAGAGATCGATATCTTCGAAATCGCTCGATAAAAAAAATTACGGCAAAGCTTGTTGTAATCACTGAACATTTCTATGCAACATATGTTAATTTAAAAATGTTAGGATCCGCGGTTTTCTCTTTATCGCAAGTTAAATAAAAAAGTACTTGGCGCGCCAACTCGTTCTCTCAGCCGCCCGTATCGCAAGCGATGCCGCCGCAGCCGAACTTGATAACGCAAGCCCCGTGTTTTGCAGCCGGAATGGCACCACCTCTTAACGGTTCAACTTATTGTTATTGTCCACCATACGTTTTAAACACTTCTCAACCTAACTCGATACAATATCAAACCGCGTGTTCTACGCGAGGTACCATGCCATCGACGACAATTATTCAGCGAGGTACCTCAAATGACGTCATTTGCAGCTCTTCAAACACAATTACATTCTCCAGCATCTTCAGGAAATTATTCAAGTGGATTATATCAAAAATTCGCACCCGAAGCACAAAATGCAATACTTGAATACGATCCCGATGGGAATTCGGTTAGACCTGAACGATTCGTTGAATCTGTCGAACATGCGCCATCATTTTATGGTTTAAACGATAGAAATACCATGATTCACGCAAAATTAAAACTACGCGGTGCGGCAAAGCTGTGGAACGATTCCGAACTAAATTTGAACACATGGCATGAGTTCAAAACATGCTTTTTTGAAAACTTTCCGACGCATGTACATTCTGATGTACGCGCACGAACGCAACAGAAGAGCGAATCGTTGTGAACGTATGTTTTCTCGACGAAATCTATTGCGTCCGGTCACGTTGAATACAGCGTAGTTGCCTATATCATACAGGGGCTGGCTATATGACGCTTCGCTAACAAAGCAATTCTATACAAATACACCAAAAACTACAACAGAGTGGACACCGATCCCAAAATTGCCCTTACAGACGAAAGGCATAAAAGGAAAGAGAAGGAAGACCTTCGCTTCTCCAAAGATAAAGATATCAAACATCAGGATACAGAGCAAAGTTCGAATGCTAGAACGGCCATTGAAAATACAGTTGCAACACAATATAAACTAGGCAACAAAGCAACCTGTCCGTATTGCATGGATGGTGTACATCGCATGAAGGATTGTCCACTAGTGTGTTGTACGAAATGCAAAGCAAAGAGTCACCTACCAAGAGACTGCAAGATAGAGCGAAAATCTACGATGATCGTAGAAAGCAAAACAAATAACATGATGATGTCGTTAACAATTAATGGTACCGTCCAACAAACACTAGCAGACACAGGTTCTTCAGTTAATATGATATCCGAAAGCAAAGTACATGAGCTGGATATTTGTTATTTCCAAAATATATCGAAAAAATTTCTAAAATATACAGTTGTGACAATCAAAAGGAACAACCAAAAGGTAACAACAAATATAATGTTTATGTGTTATGTGTAACATAATATTGCATTGTTACAGATTGGGATAAGGACACCAACGGTATCTTAACACTGTTACATTTGTTACCACCAAGTGCCAGAGGAAGGGGTGGAGTAAAAAAAGAATCACTTTCAGAGGCAACCCAAAAATTAATAGTGTTTCATGATGTAAGTTTTTATTAACTATACTAAATAATTGGTTTGTTAGTACAATTGTCTAATATAGCAATATTGGGGTTTTAGCTATTAGGAAGTTTAGATGAATCGTTCTGTGGAAAGAAAACCGACCAGCCGTTTCTGGTAGCCGTTGGCACTTCAAAATTAAACATATTGGACTATTATATTGCAATAGATGGTGTTTTGGTGCCAACAGAAACGAAAAATTCCTTAGCCGCATTAGATGAATTGTTCCAAGCTCATTTTATATTCAAAACCAGATATGACACCAGTCTAAAATCATTTTGGAAATTCATCCAGAAAGAAATATATTGCTTGAGTACAAACGAATATATTTCATTAACACCACGAGAGCGAGAAATACATCTGAAACTGCAAGTTATAGATGAGTAATGGTGCCGTTTTAAGATTATCTTATTTTGCGTATAGACTACTATATTTCTACCTCAATATTTAATGAAAATATTTATTAAAATGTGTGACGTCTGTGCTACATATATATTTCAACCACCTGGTGGTGCTCTTCCGACGCGTCACGTTACTACAAAAATATCATGTTAAACCTAAGAAAAGACAATAAAACACTCGCATAAATTGGTATAATATATTTATATTTAGTATATATCTAAAAGTTGGTTGATTTAATTTAAATTTCTAATGTTTAATTTTTAAGAAAAAGTAACAATCATCTTTGTTTTTTAGTATTGCAACAGTTAGTTCTAGTAGTTGTGTTCTACTCAATATTTTCCGTATTTTTTTACTTTTTTATGTTTTAAATATATTATTAAAAAATAAACAAAACTGTTATGACTTAAATACGGTCCTGTTCAAAAATCCTTAAAACCTGAGTACCGCCCTGAAAAGTAACTAAAATAAGCGAACTTTTAACAAAAAAAGAAAAGGTTAACTACATATAATTAATTCAAGTTATCTAGAAAGGAGTTACATTTAACTCTTTCAAGGAAACGTTTAACTAAGAAAAAGATTAATTTAACTACTTGTAAGGATTTCAAAATATCCATAAAGGTGTCATTCTAACAACATGGAGTTAATTAACAATTATCTTTAGTTAGATTTCTCCGTTTTATGTATAACTAATAGCTACTTCTTTGGAGGAATTTAACTACATTTAACAATTTAAATTAGTTAAATTTTTAACTCCGTATAAATTTGTCTCCGAAACGGATGGTCGCGAGGGAACTTTCAGATTTAGTTAAAAAAGAGTTAAATTTAGCTCCGTATTTTTAACAGTGTATCCGGATTAAACGTTGCAACCTGTCAAAACATAGGTCTTGCAAAATGTACTGTCGGAATAATGGAAAATATGTTCAAAACAAAATTCCATATAGTTCAGGACTCTGCTATACCAGTACCTATCATCGTCGGAACAGATTTTTTTCGACAACCATCTGTAGTACTTCAAATAGAAAAGGGAATTGCCAACATAGAGGTCGAACTAAATATTTAGATTCGAAGCTAACATGGGATGAACACGTTTTTCAGATAACAAAAAAATTAAACAAGAGCATATTCGCTATAAGAAATTTAGTCAATATAGTACCACTCGAGGTAATAATAAAAGCCTATTATGGCTGTTTTTATCCTCACTTATCTTATGCGATCCTGTGCTGAGGGCATTCTGCGCACGCGGTACGAGTATTCCGAACACAGAGGCGATGTCAGTGTTGTCGGCGGAAGTTTGTTGATTACAAACTTTTGACACTGCCTTGTCTCTACATACTCACTTGTGTGATGCACGTTAGGAAAAATCTGCCTTCTTACTTAAAAAACAATCACTGTCACAATTACAATACCCGAAATAAGAATGACCTTATTATAAATTACTTATATTAATTACTTTTATTAATACTTATTACTTTTTTATTATTCACCCAATCAATTCCTAATATCTCGAAAGTTTTCTTTTTTCCGGGCTTTTTTAATAATGTACAATAACTACCCGATTTTTTTCCTGAGCTACCCGAGCTTCCTTGATAATGCGAACAATCAATGCAATTAATAATTTACAAAATTCTGCTGGTTGTTATGAATCTAAAATTGATTCCATGTTAAAATCAAAACAATTTGAAGGACTAGCAATTGAATGTAAAATCAAATTTCATAAATTACCACGAGAAAAATGACTAAACTCACTCGTGATGTCTTTAAAGGATAGATTAATGAAGCAAAGCAACTTTAAACTTAAAGACGAAAATTATGAAGACTTGGAGGATGAGCAATTGAAAAACATATTTAATGTATATTATTTATATTTGAATATGGAAGAAGTTACGTGTAGAAGAAGTATAAAAGAGAATAAGAACTTTGAATTTTATTTTGAAAATGAAATTAAAATAAATGGTTTTAGAGATTTAGTAGAAAACGCACTGACTGGAAAATTCCAAATCGAAATTCCCAACATCGTGAAAAAAGCCAAGGTCATTATGGAAACAATCCCAGTTAGCAGCGCTGAAGCTGTACGAGCTTTTAGTTCGATGAACAATATCGTTACAACGAAAAGATCTTTTCTCACTGTTAAACACGTTTCGAATTTTATGACGATCTACTTAAATGGGAAATCTTTGGAAGAATTTAACCCTAACCCTAACAATATAATTTTTGTTTTATTTATTTACCCGTGTTTAATCTACTTCTAAAATATAATATATTGTCATATTTAAGTAAAGATGTGTATTTCCTAATTAATTGGGGGTGAATCCCCTAAAAATAAAAAACATCCAATAAGACTATTTCATAGTGCTGTAAAGACCATTCTCTCCAGTGTTCTTAGTTTATGAACTGATTATAGTATTATTGTAAGTATTGTTTTATTCGTTTTTTTTTAATAATTTTGCGTTCCTTTTTTTAATTTATTAGTGTTTATTAAGTGTTACTATTATTTTTTAGTGTTACGTTTAGTTTTTAGTGTTACGCTTACTTGTTAGTGTTAGCATTATTTTTTAGTATTCTTTTGTATATATAAATTTTAGGTAAATTTAACATACCATCAAATCTAAAAGTTTTTACATTGAATATGCGTATATGTTTATAACTAGTACAACAATGGCAAATAGAGGGCCGACAACAATCGTCGTTGTTGCGACAATTTTGCCGGTTGAAATAATGTTAGCAGAGACGTTTTCAGCACGTGATCTGTACTGCAATTTTATTTCAACCATTGAAGACACAATTAGTTTTTTGGCAACACGGCGACTTTTTGCAAATTCGAGAGAATGTGATTACTACGCCACATTACTATGTCGCTGACAAGGAGAGCGTGTGTCAGCGATGGAAAGCAGTGGACCTGCAAGGAATGTAGAAAAAGCGTGTCAATACGAGCCGGCTCATTCTTTCAGAATAGTAAGCTAAAATTGACACAGATTTTGGAGATTATATATGGATGGGCGAGGGAGCACCCGCAGTATGAGGCGGCACGTGGCGCCAAATTGGGGGAAGGATCCACCCACACCATAGTGGATTGGTACAACTTTTGTCGGGATATAACCGAACAGCACCTTGTCGACAATCCTACCCAAGTAGGAGGCTTCGATGAGAACACGCTGTTGTCTAAAACGGTGGAAATTGATGAATCGAAATTTTTCCACCGTAAATACCACCGTGGACAATGGCGTGAAGGCCACTGGGTTTTTGAGGATATTGAACGAGGTAGTGGCAACTGCTTTCTGATGGAGGTGCCGGATAGAACGGAGAATACCCTAACCCCAATTATTGAAAGGTACATATATTATGTACAGAGTCAGCCAAACTAAACGCCCCATTTATATTTGAGTTGAGTATGCTTACTTTAGATTATCGTTAATTACTCCGATTAAATAAATTCATTCGATCTGATAAATTCGGATTTATCGTTAAAAATTTATCAAACGGGAGTATAAAATAAGCGTATATGCGACTTAAATGTAATTGTTTAAACTTTATTTTGGATTTAACCCATTAATGCCTAGCGTTGCGTTTTCGCAACGCACTGCTTCTTCTTATCTACAGGTCACCAGGTACGACATTTCGATCCGAATCAAAGCGGATATTTTAGTTGAAGGAAGTATCTTATCGATTTATTTTCGCATTTTGTGCGATTCGGCTATTTTCCCTACTTTTTTCGCTGTTGAAAATCGTGAATTTCACGGTTTTCCGTCTTCAATTTTTAATAAATTGGGAAAAATGAAAAAAAATACTGAAAAAAGAATTCCTCTCGTATGCTCCCACTCTTAGTTCCATATATTCGACGGAAAATATTATTTCGTGGCGATTCGCGAGTCTTTACTACTTGCCAGATAGCCGCGAAGGTCAGTGTTGCGAAAACGCAACGTTAGGTCGAACCGGTGGTCGAACAAACAATATGCGCGTGCAACTTCAGTCCACTTGCTAGGTCAACGAATACGCTAGTTGACAGCAGTACCGCATCAATTTCGCTCTGCTCTATGCTATATCATCTTGCATTATTTACATATAATTTTGCGAAAAAAGTATACGACCGCTCGTGAAATCGAAGACTTGGTGAATGCTAGCTCTGATGAAGAGGAAACAGCGACTCAAATTCGACATGCCGACCACGTGGATTTCATAGTTCTGCCGCCAGAAAATATCGATGCGATTAGTGATAATGAAGATTAGATGAAGGTACACAATTGATGAGTGGGGATATACCTAACGATATTACGGGCCATATCGAAGTTATGTGCGAATTCGATGACGATAACGAACATTGTCCACAAGAACCGATGTGTGAAAATAACGAAGATTCGGACATTAGCGATCGGCCCTTTGTTTTGCTCAAGCCTAAGTGGATGAAGACTAAGAACTATAAATTCTTGAAGCAGCCGGTAGTTTTGTCCATAGAAAAACACGCAGACATTTATACAAAATTAGGTAATTGATTTCCGTTCTCTCATTCATTCCAATGAGTGTAAATTATTGTTTCGAATTGCAGGAGCACTGAATCCATTACAGTTATTCGAATTATTTATCGATGCTGATGTCATCAATTTCATTGTTCAAAGTACAAACCGATATGCGGCTATCGATCGCAATGATCCCTCTTTCAAAACCGATGTCGAAGAAGTGCGCAAAGTAATAGGAATATTGTTTGTGACTGGGTATCACACATTGCCGATAATCAGGTGTTATTGGTCGGATAGCCCATCTTTAGGTTGTGCGATAATAAAAGCAAGCATGACTCGTGATCGTTTTCTTCGTGTCAAAGCGCATCTCCATGTATGCGATAACCGAAGCCTCGATCCGAAAGACAAATTCGCCAAGGTGATACCCTTGAATGATATGATGAACGAACGGTTCATGCAATTCGGCGTCTTCGCTCACAATTTATCGATCGACGAACAAATGATTGCATATTTTGGTCGACATTCTTGTTAAAATGATTTGGATTCAAGTATTGGTGTCTTTGCTCGTCCGAAGGATACCTTTTTTCATTCATACCGTACGCCGGCGCATCCAGTAATAATAATAAAGACCTCGGACTCGGTGAGAACGTTGTTTTTCGTCTGGTCTCGAAATTAGAGAGTCCGAGCCAACACTGCGTGACATTCGACAATTTTTTTACGTCGCATAAACTCATGTCTCGTCTTTCTTCATTTGGATATTTCCCCACGGGAACTGTGCGAGACAACCGAACAAATAACTCGACGCTTACAGATGTGCGCACAATGAAAAAAAAAAGATCGAGGTACCAGCGACTACTCATTTGACAAGGTAAACGAAGTTCTGGCTGTGCGTTGAAACGATAATGCAATTGTGACCGTCTTATCGAACCACCTGCATTACGCACCGTCGCATCGTGCGAAGCGTTTTGACCGTAAAAAGAAAAAAATGGGCTACATCGAAATGCCGCATCCGATTCATGAATATAATAAGACAATGGGTGGTGTGGATCTATTCGATAATGCGATAAACAATTATCGCATTCGTATACGCGGAAAGAAATGGTATTGGCCATTATTCACGAATGCGCTTGACTGTGCAATGGTAAACGCTTGGAAGCTGCACTGCTTATGCCGCAAAGTTGAGAAAAATACGATCATGTGACAACTGGAGTTCCGCGTATTTGTGGCAGAATGCTTACTGCAATCATCGAAAGTGCTGAGTGGAATCACTTCGCTAAAAGAAAATTATCAAGCCGCCAACAACGTGATCCGAGGAGATCGAACAGATCACACGGTGGGAAAAAGCAATACTCGCATCCGGTGCCGCCATTGTAAAAGTCAAACAATATTCACCTGTGAAAAGTGCAAGGTCGGACACCACCCGAAGTGCTTCAACGCGTATCACTTCTCTACGTAGAGTAGAATTGTTACTTTTGCATTTATAAATTGAAGACGCGCGTGGATAAAGGTGTTATGTAACAATTTTGAGAATTTTAGGATTTTTGGCTTTTTAAGTGTTTTATGCAGTAATTTAAACGTCTAAAGATGTTTTGCAGATTAATTCTTACTTTTTTGCAAAGTACCTGTTGATGAAGGTGCTATGAGTTTCACAATCTAAATTAAGTTAATGGAAAAAGGTCCTATGTGACTTTAACACCTTTATCCATTTTGTTTCCTTCGANAATCGTGTTAACAACACAGTCTGGTAAAATTAAAGCGAATCTTTTCGTCAATGTTCATAAAAAGGGGAAAAGACGGTTAGGTCAAGAGAAAACACGGAACTTAAATTTGGTGAAGAGGGAATATACAGGGTAAGTCCTTAAAACATGGAATAAACCGGCTAAGTCGCAGCGTCAACTACCTGTTTTTGCTAACTCAAGGGAGTTGATGAAAATTGGCTTTTTTGCGCTAACAATAATATCAACGAAGCTTCAAATTCCTAGTGTGAGTCGCAGTTTGTTTCTGTTGGTTTCTGTCAGTAAAGTGTTGTGTGGTGTTGTGCAAATAATGCAAGACGAAACTAAAGAATCAACGAATGGTCAGAGTACCAAAAAACGGAAAAAGTTTGGACGGCTACACGAAGTTCCAAAAAACTTAGGCTACAAAGCCACGAAATGGGTCCGGACTGTAAATGTCGTAAAAAGTGTTTCGAAACCTTGAAGGAACAAGTACGTAAAGAAATTCTACGCCAATTTAACTTGCTACTAACAGAAGATGAACAGAATTTATATTTGTGCGGTTTAATTTCCCTCGTACCAGTAGCAACGCGACGACCACGTCAACCTGAAGAATCCGCGAAACTTCGTGATGCTACATTT